GAACAAATAGTGCCTAATGAGGAAAATTGTTTTTTAAACTTGGATTTTGCTTCACTGCTCGAGGTGTCCACTAATTCGAAGTGAGGCTTGTTTTTTATGTGAATCATGCGACAATTTAGCCCGTTGGACATCTTTAAAATTTAAAAAATATTGTTTTGAATAGTATTTTTTGGAGAATGCGTCGTTAAAAAATAGGGAAAATTTTTGGGGTTACATATAGAATATTTTATTGTGTGAATGCGTGGTTGAAAATGAATATGAGAAATAAGTTAAAATAAAGGCTTATTAAAGATTATGTCAATGAATAATTATTGTGCAATTGTAAGGTCGGTGGATCAATTTGTTCCTTTTTTTGTTTTTTTGATAACATTGGATATTCGGATCAGTTTGTGTGCACCTCGACTAATCTCATAAGTCCGTGAAGTTTACAGTCGGGTACTTATCGCAGTGGTCTAGATGGAACATGAACTGAAGATCAATTTGTTCATTTTAAGAGGTCGTGGACCCTTTCCCTGCTGAGAAATGGTGTACAATATTTCCTTTTATACATTAAAGGGTATACCTAGTTATCATCTGGGCACTCGAGGGAGATCTATCGATGAAATGATCTCTATCTGGATATATATGTCCTTGCGAGCGCCAAGCGGCTATCTTGGTCTTTCGTGATCTTATCACATTGATTTAGATTGTAATTGGTTTGTTATTGACTGGTGTTTAGGTATAATTGGGTCAATTTAAATTTATCGAATGAAATAATCTTAACTTTGTTGGACGACAATAATGATCTCACTGCATTAGTCTAGTGTTAAGTGGTCTTGTAATAGCATTACTATTCATTATCGAATTAAACTACTTTGTACACACAAAGTGTACACTTTGATTGACACCCTTCTATGTGTCAAAAATTTGGTTGTTAATTGAAAAGGGTGGTGTCAAGATCAATGTACCAAAAACTGCGAATTCACATGAATGTAAATCAATGTGTCAACTTTAATGTACATGTAACATGGTCCTTTATTACCGCACCGAACTATGGAAATTGAGGCGGTATATGAACATATTTAAATCCCCGAGAGAGCCAAGACGACGATGGGTCACCCCAGTAATCATATTTGTTATAATAGGCTGATTATAAGAGAGTTTATGCATGAAGTATGGCTACTCTGCAGCGTAAGGGTTGTACATTTCCTTACACCCAAAAACATGATTTTTGGTACAATCACTGGCCTTCATTTGATAAATTTATAAATTAGTTAATTAAATTTGATTTCAGCTACATATTTTAATGATCTCACGAGTCTATTAGATTAAACTATTTCTTCCGAATGGAGGCAAACGAACCAACAATTTAGGGGTGAGAAACAAAGAGGGACTTTTCATCTCTAATTCCAATAAATCCAAATTTGTATTACTAGAATTTAAAGACCCCGGGAACCGTCTGGCTCATGTTGGGCTGATTTTCCAAATTCAGCCTTAGCCCTTTTAAGGTCTTCAAACAAAATTGATAACGGCCTTTGTATTTGATGAAATTACATAATTTCAGGTATTTCAACTTCAGTGTGCAAAAATCAGGTAAGAAGATTTTTTAATCAAAATTCAGATATTGAATTAAAAATTAAATATTATAATATACTCACCCTACCTAATCCCAAAACTTAAATCATTTTTCTTCTACCTCTCATCTTCTCTCTCAATTTTCATCTACCCTTAGATCGTCGTCTCCATTGAGGAGTTCCCGTTTCCAAAGGGTCGAGTAGTGGCGTTGTCGCTGCTGTGCCCGCCTCGCAGCCGGCGATGTGAGTGCCGACAGCAACATCTCCCTTGTCCCTGCTAAAGTTCGATAGGAGCACCTGCCATCGGAAACACCTCCAAATGCCGCTACGAGGCCCTTTGAAGTGAGAGTATCACAACAGCATCGCAGCGGCATCGTCGCTGCTGTGCTTCGCCCTCACAGCCGGCGATGTGAACGTCGACAACGCCATCGCCATCGCTCTCGCCGCTGCTACAGTTAGATAAGGGCTCTATGGGAACCTGCTTCTTTTGTGGTGGTGACGGTGGTGTGAGCGGTGTGTAGTGGGTGCTGTGAGGTGGTGTGGGGTGTTGTTTTGGCGGCGGTTGTGGTAGTGTTGCTCGTGGTGGTAACTGGTGGTCTGTGGTTGCGTTTCAGTCTCTTCCACCGTGGATGGCAGCTTATGGGTGGTCTGTGGTGGAGTTAATTGTGGGGTTTCATCGGCAATTTTTCGAGATCAAGAGAGAAAATTTGGGGAGGGATCTGAGGTGTTTTGTGGGGGTGGCGTCTGGGGTGGTGGCAGTCGATGGTGGTGCAAGTGGAGGATCTTGTGATTTTGGTTTTGTGACTAAAAAGATAATTCGTGACCTTAAAATTCGGTAATCTGTGACTAAAAATATAATTCGTGACCAACAATTTTGTTATCTGTGACCTAAAAATTATATAATTTGTGATCGTGAAAAAATCAGTGACCAACTAATTTGGAAATCTGTGACTGTGTGACCTATAAATTTTGATATGTGACCATCTAATTTTGAAATTTGTGACCAACGAATTAATTGTGATCTACAAAATTTTTTAACCGTGACTGTAAAATAATCCGTGACATATAAAAATTATTATTTGTAACTGAAAAATAATATGTGACTATCTAAATTGTGAATTTGTGACCATATTATATAAATTGTCGAAATCTGAGTAGTCGTCTGAATAAAGTTGCGATGGAAGGATCATCGGAACGATCGTCGGAGAAAAGTGGTAGATGGAATGGACGCCGAAATAGTCCTCGAAACGATAAGGTTAGTGGAGGTGTGGTGAGTTAATTATATTATATTAGAATTAAATATTTAATAAATTTATTTAATAATTAATGAATAAAAATATTTTTAATTAATAAATAAATACCCGACTTTTGCATTTTGAAACCCGACACCTGAAAATTGAATTTTGTCAAAGTTCACACTTGACTTTTGAATTTTCCCCTTTGTATTTCTTTGTACAAATTGGTTTGGAACTAGATTTTTCCTAAACTTTCAGGGTCCGTTTGATTGTAAGAGTGAAATTTGAGTGAAAAAAATGAATTCAAGATAATTGAATTGCCTAAAATTATTTTTTTTTTTTTTGGAAATTGTCAATTAATTGTGTTTGATTTGTATAATTTTTCAAGTGAAAAATATTGAAATTTTGGATCAATTGGTGTTCGTTTAATTTTGTTTTACATGAAAATTGTCCATTAAATTGAAAACATTTTTTACAGCTGGTTATGAAATTTGTTTTCATTGGCAAATAAAAAAAAAAAAA